CAGCAGGAAAGTTCCCCTGGACATCTGTCCCCTACAATAGAATCCTCCACTGTCATCATCTGCTTCTTTCTATCCTTTAAGATCCTGTTGTCACTGTGAGGAGCCACTGTGTTACCACTGAAGAACAGGTTGAATTGTCCTCCTTCCTTCCTTCCCCGGGGCATCTCCCTTGGCAGGAGGGAAGGGACAAACTTAGAACCTCATTCACACTCTCCTCGCCTACTTTCTTTTTGCCCTTTTTGAGCAAAACTGTGTTGCAAACAACCCTGCTTTCTGTCTCTGCTGTATTACAATTCAGTCTTAACATAGAAGTTTGCCACTTGGATCTAAGTATTGATTTTTTTAGCTGAAACTGTAGCAATAGTTATAAAACTTTTTATTTTAGGTCATCCTGGTCTCTTATTAAGAAGTCTGTAGAACAGTGTAGACTGGGGGGAGAGGAGGTTGCCCCAAGCTAAAGTCAGGTCTTTTGTACAGAAGTGTACAAAAATACCTGATGTGTGTTACTGTGTTTTTTCAGGTAGGTGAGCTGACACTGAGACAGACCTATCCCAACTAATTTTGACAAGACCAGTATTTTATTTACTTGCAGGGATGTTATTTAAGATACTAGGTTTTTATTCATAGCTTTTGTATTGAAATTTCCTTAAAAAGCAACTTGACGTATTTTTTGAATCCTAACCTATGTACTTGTTCTTTTTAAAGGAGTTCCTACAGTGGGAACCACAGCAATCAAGGAGGAAAATACTCTTATTACAGATACAGATTCTGTGCATGCTGAAGGTGCTGTTGAAGCAATTGAAAACTTTCACCAAAAAGAACAAAAACAAACGTTGCAGTCTCTTTTCTGTTTGCTCCGTGAAGAGGTTGAGCAGATGGATTCAAAGATACTGCCCCTGTGTCTCCATCAGGTACTTCCTATGATTCTGGGGTGTTGCACACACTTTTGTTTTTATTTGAGACCTTGATTCATTAGGGAAAAATACATTAATTCAACATATGCCAGTATTCAAAATAGGACAGGATATTTTGATGTATAATAGGTGGTCAAGGCAAGTATCTTCTCTAAGGTCTTCTAACATATGTTAAATTATAAATTGCCTTGAAAGTATATTCTGCAGTTAAAGGAAAGTCTTAAGGATGGGTTTTCTAATTCCCCAAACGATGAAATTCTAGTTTGGCAGGAAGATTTAGGAAAATCACTCTTCAACATACCTTAAATATGGTTTGTAAGACACTGGTATAGATACAAGACTACTGATGTCTAATTAACATTTTAAATCTGGAATTATTTTTGCTGTTGCAGACTTCTTGCTAGCATGAATGTCATGCATGAATGCTAAGATTCAAGGTTTCTTAGTATATACTTTTTTTATAGCACAGTTGCCACACCTGCAAGACCAAAGGAAATACTGTGTGATTTGAAAAGCAATCTTTTTTACTAACTGGCCAGTATGTTTTTCTTTCTGGAAATTATGATACAAGATTAATATGTTGATAGGACTTGATGCAGTATTAATTTATAGTTTAGTTGTGTCAGACTAACAGTGGACTAGAATACTTTTTGTTTGGTTATGGGCTATATATATAGATACTATACAGTGTCTGATTTGACTTAGTTGCATTATCTTTATTGTAGAAATTTGGATGATTGTGATATTTTAAACTTCTAAACTGTGATGACAGTCCTGCATTCTTATTCTCTTTGATATAAATGAGCGATTATATTTGAGAAAGAGGTTTCTCTTTAGTATTGCAAATCATATATAATTTACATTTTACATAGAATTTTAAATTATCTTTTTAAATCTGTGTTTGAGTGAAGATATTTGATACCATTCCTTAATTTATTTGAAATTCAGCATTAGGGTTAACCATTTGTACTTTTAGCCACACCGAATTTGGTGGTCATTCATGAGTCAGTACAAAGGTCTGTTTTGGAAAACGACACAGTTAGGGCAAAAACTTCAAAACGCTTTACAAGCATTAAGGAGTGTCATCGAACATGATGGAGGTGAAATCTGTTCGCTGCTTTTTAAATGAGGAAGCCAAACCCTAAGGGTAATAACCTTTTGAAAGTCATACAGGAACTGTGACAGAACTGAGAACAGAATCTGCATTTCCAGATTCAAACATGTAATCAAACACCATCTCTTTTTTCCTGAGAAATACCAAGCATTTTGAATGGAGTGTTTGAAAGAAAGCTAACAGAACTTACAAGGATCATAACACACTTTTTAATCTGGGGAAAAAATAAAGAATTTTAAAGATAGCATTAACGTTTTCATGAGTAAAGTGAGTCAATTAAGAATTTTTTTTCCTTTTCCAATGAATTAACCTGTCATCTTCAGTCTTTTTTTTTTTCAGGTTGCTAATACAGCCTGCCAGTAACTTTCTTTTATGCCAAGTCTAGCAAATACTCTTCTATCACATTCTCTTTTTATTCTGTATGACAAAATTCAATGGAAAATAAAGAGCTGTGTCAGATGTTCTGGGGTATTAACAATCCGTGTTGTTAGTGGGAAGCCTGTATTAAATATTTAAAGGCCGTGGGATATTAGGGGCTATTCTAAGGGTTAACTTTTAATTAAAATAGGATGTAATTTTTTTCCTGTCTTGAATGGGATTCATGTGATTTGTTTAGCATTTGTTACAGAATCTAAGAATTACTTACATATATAAAACATAGATACAGAGCTTTGGCAGCTGCAGAAATCCTTAGGAACTACTGTGGGTAGCAGACAAAACATCCAAATAAAGAACCTTAAAAGTTACCTACCAGTTCTCTTTTGGAGGTACTGGGCTCAGAATGGTCTAGTGGTTATAATAAGGCTGAGAGCCAGGAATACACAACTTGTAATCTAGACTCCTCTATCAAGTCGCTGTCTTTTTTGAGCAATCATCTTTAGACTTTTGTAAAAGTACCCACTTGTTAAGCCCTTCAAATTATGAGTGCCTAAATTGATATGCCCCAAAGATTTTGAGACTGAATGTTTGTGTGCTCCCACAGAAGTCATTGGAGTATCGGCTATGAAGTGTCTCAACCTGAATGTTCAGGTACCAGGGTACCTGCAATTACCGCACACATTTTGCAAGCATGGCCCTTGCCACACCATGCATGGCAAATAGGAAGACTGCCAATATTTGCTGTCCCTGAAGATTGATTAGTTAATGCTTGTAAAGGTCACTGGTACTGTAGAGTTCTGTGGAACAAAACATTTTTACTTCTGAGGTTTATATTTTTTGTATTTTATTGCATTTACAAGTAAAGCTATCAGTATTCTTCAGCTTTCTAGGAAAGCCTGCCCAGTTTTCCAGCAAGCACAAATAAGTTGTTGTTGTTGTTGCAAGTCTCAAAGATTACTTGTCTACCAGGAGGAATTGGAAGAAAAATGTTTCAATTACCACGTTAGCTTTGGTGTTACACCTCTTCCTTTCCAGGTATCAGCTCTATCCTTTCTATAATACTCCCCACCACCAACTCAGAGTCAAAGTGAAATTCTGATTCTCAGTAGAAACATGCTAATTTTCTGACTATCTTTGAATACTTGCTTTCTCTGAGCTGGTTGCATGGACTCTAGTGCAATGGTGTCTTTGCCCTTTTAGTCCAAGAAATAATCCTTTATGCCAGTTTGGGGCGGCGCGGGGGAGCCAAACCAAAAAACTGATACCTTTACTTGATTAACAGAAAAAGTATTTTTTCTAACTGGTATCTCGACTTTTCTTCTGAAAGTTCTGCCACTTCCATGCTTGTAATTTTGGCTTTGAAATAGCTGGTTGAAAGCAAAGGCATCACTAGGAAGAGGATAATAAATCTATTTCAGTAGTCTGCAATTAAAATATGTAGTTTTGATATAGCAATAACTTGGTATACCGGAACATAATTTTCTCTTATGTTTGCATGCCCATGTTCTTGGTTTATACACAGCTTGTCAGTGTATAAACCCTTGATAAGCATATATTGACTGCTCCTTTTTGCAGTGATCTGTTAAAGATAGGCGTCCTAAAATTACCCAGCCAGGGTGAAGTTGTTTTTTAAGATGTTGCAGCTAGACATCTTGAATGCTTAGGCATAGAGATCCCTTGTTCAATTCCTAGTCATTGGCTGAGATAGCAGCTGTAACAGCAGCATTTAATGTCAGCTTACACATTTTGTTGAGCTGGAAGTGCTGGAGATTGACTTTGGTGTTCAAGTATTTTATATGTAGTCTGTCTTATGTTTGATTTTCCTGGTCCTCAGTAACTGCTTTGGAATTATTTTTGTTCTCTGTGTTAAACCTCCTGAGCCCTTTGAGCTCTAAATGCAACAGGGAAACTTTGCTTATTTCTTGTGTCAACTCCCTGATATTTCTTTGTTTTGACATACCTGTATTAACTCAACATCCATCTAAGAGAACAAGTCTTGAAGAATTGTTGTGATTTTTAGGTGTGTGGGTTTTTTTTTTCCCCCAATGGTTGTCTTTGGCAGAGCTGTCTTGTTACAAATGCAATTTTAATTGTTCTGTTATAGAAATGTCAACCTAAGGAGGAAGAGCTGCAGATTTGTTCTATGTCGTAACAACTACAGTGCAAATCAAAGAACTGCCATCTGGCTTAACTCCATGGTTTGCTCTATTGTTGAAGAGCTTCAGATATCAAGATGTTAGGCTTAGTGAACTAACACATGAGGTAGAGGATCTTTAAATCTTTTTAACACAGCAGAGCAGCTTCAGGAAAGGAAGTGGCAGAAGTCTGCTGCAATGGTATTGTCTGGCTTCTGCGAGTGGATTAGGAGTAATACAGAAAAAGATTAAGAACTTGAGTCCTCTTACATTTATCTCATTAATTTCAAATAGTCATATTGTAAATATTTCAAATTCTATGTATTTGAAATATTTGTTGTAATTATTTATTGTAAATATTTATGGTAAATAGGATATAAACAGGAAGGTTGTTGGTATGTCTCTGATGCTGTGATAGGTGATTTTTAGTGTCTTTTATCCAAAAATTGTTCTTTTCTCGTCAGTCAGGCGACCTCCATTTCTCCATTTTATAACATTGCACTGTAATGCTCGGGAGAGCTCAGCAATGATCTTAATTTGGTCAAATGTAAGGAAACAATGATCAGTAACAGAATTCAAACTCTTCAACTCATATCAGTAAACACAGTATTTCTGTTCTAGGTCACTTTAAAACTTTCTAATATGATCATTAAAAAAGTTTCTGAAATAATTTTTTGTTGTTGTAAGATAAAACCCAACAAACATTGGGGCAAATCCATTTATGTGAGAGGACTTAATATTTCTTTGTTGTTTGATATTCTTTTTAAACATCTTTCCTAGAATAAGAATACATGTATTTAGTCTGAACATTTGTATTTTACCCAAACTAAATATGAACCTGCAAAACAGATGTTTAAAACTATAATTAAAAGTTCATATTATATCCTCACCACTCCCATGAAAATTATAGAATCCTAATTTTTCTTTTTTTAATTTTTCAGATAGCTGAGACCTATTTTCAAGAGGAGGAATGTATCCTTTTACTTGTAGAAATTGTTATGCGATATTAAAATAATCTGGCATACGAAAACATAAAAGACAAATGCTTTACCATTGACTTACAGGTTGTGGGTCAGGGTTAGAAAGAAGTGAACAGCCGTAATTTACCCATGAATGAATATACGATATGTTAGCAAATCCTTCTTAATCAGACAGCTGGAATATGAGTTAAGTAATAAATCCACTTCCAAAAGCTGAACTGATACGATCATTAGTAGTTATGCACAAACAAGGAAGTAAGAAGATATTTGCAAAGAACTTATGTTTTTATAGGATAAGTTCTGTTCTAAGTATTAGTAACTGGGAATATGACCAGTCTAGATAGGGTATGTATTCTATTACATCAAATAGGGCACTGTTATAGTAAGAACAAAATTTTCACAACAGTTGATTAGAATATGTACTACAAGTGTCTAGATTAGAATAAAAATACCAAATACACTGAGCTAAGGGAGATCAGCAACCTGCAAACAGTAGCAACATGTTGTTCGGCAAATGCTAATTAGTCAAAATTGTATCAAGGTAGTTTGAGAAACTGTCATAGGAAAATATGGGTAATTGCTTTGGGAACAGCTAGTTCAATGGTCCAGTTTATTTTGACTTGTTCCGATAATACAAATAAGTTTGGTCAAAAAGTTACAATAGTTGAACTGCTGCTAATTACTCTGATACATTTCAGTAATTGTGGGAGAGAATAATCATATTAAACCTTAAAGTGAAATTATATTTTTAGAAAAGGTGGACTGGGTTTTCCTCTGTTTGCTTTTAAGGGAAAATGATCAGACTATAAAAAGAAGAGGCAAGAGTGGTAAGCCCTTAAGGTATATGTGATCCACTAAGATGCGTCATAAATTACAGAATCTGTGCATACAGATTATTTCTTTATTATATCTTTAATATTATATACAGCAAATAGGCAATTGTTAAATAACAAATATTGTTAAATAACAAAACATAAGAAACCTGGAATGGTATCCTTGAAACCTAGCCAAATTATATTATCCTGTAGTACAAAACCAGAGAAATAACTGTTGCAATATTATAAAAGCAATATATAAAATAAAATATCCATCACTGTCTTAGAAGACTGTACTCCTGTCTTGGTCATCCTAATTCAAAAGCATCCATCAGAAAATCCAAAATACACAGCACAGATTAAAGGCATGGAAAAATTCTGCAGTAAATTATGGCTCTGCAGGAGGAAATACAATAAATTTAAAATGCATTCAACAGTATGATAGAAAGACAGTTTCTCTTTCATAGAAGTTGCTTTAATTGAAGGGCACTGTATTTAAAGCTGATCAAAGGAAATATTTTTAATGCAATGTACACCTGATGTGTGGAATTCAACACCACTATATAATACATATTTATGAAGGATATCTCCTCTGTACTTGCAACCATCAGTTTCCTGAGGTTAATAAAGAACTTACTTGATCATGTTGCACTGTATTAATTATCCATGACAGGCATTTTAATTCATCCAGTGTAGAACTTCATATTAACAATAATTCAGGGTTTGTTGCTGTGATCCTCTAAGGCTGTCTCTCTGATCTGTAATTCTGTTTCTAATAACAGATTTCTTGAAAGCAGGGAATATTCTGTCCATTAATATTGTTGTTCATAAGCCATGCTATGTATATGTTGCATGAGGCTAACAAGTACTGGTTGTGTTTTTGTAATAATTACTCCAGTATTTTAATTAGCATGAATAATGAAAAATGTTTTTTCTATATTACTATGAACTTCATTCACTGTACTTCTATCTTCATTGTACTGTAGAATTAAATTTCAAATAGCTGGCAAAACATGGCTTTAAATGGCACAACTAACAACTCGGGCTTGATAGAACTAGAATTATCCAGACTATTACAAAATATATAACTATCAGTACACCTTTGTGAATGTATTGATGAAAGAGTTCCTCATATAGAAGAAAAGCAAGCAGAATCTTCAGAAAGAAGACAAAAGGTGAACTCAGCTGTCCGACAGTGTTGTATACAATACTTGAAAAGGGGGAGGGTATTTTTTGAACGTTTGAGTTGGGGAAATTTTTTAAATACTCTCTCTCTCCAGCTGGTCAGTAGAAAGGAGCCATATTTTCAGTTACTTATGGTTATTGGCATATAATTGTATTTCTTGAGAGATGCATACTGGTATTTGTATAATTGTTTTGCTTTTCATTTCCCAGAGATTTCATTTTCTGATAAGAGTTGTCAGCATAATAACATTTTGCTTGTTTATTTTCTAGAAAAACTTTTGTTGGACTTAAGGCATGTGGGAAGAGATAACTGCTGAAGAGAATAGGATTTTCATTTTTGGAACTTTTCTCAACTTACTTTTCTTCTTACTTGCTGTTTTCATGTCTGCTATTATTTTCTTCCTTGCACAGAAATCTGGATGCTAGCCATTATTCATTTTGACTCAATTATGTCAAATTTCAGGTATATAATGATTGCCCTTTCAAATATACTGCCAAATATAAATAAATCATAACATGTCCATATACGTGTGCATTTTTCTTTAACCTTCCATTCAGATGAGAAGGCAATGAAGTTCATTCAGCTTGAACGACTGTATCATGAGCAGCTGCTTGCAAATCTTTCTTCCATTCAGGAGCAGTGGGGTGAGTACAGGCTAAACTAATATGGTAGAAGAAAGAATTAATTTGTTTTGTATTTCTAAATAATAGAGTATACATTTTGCCAGCTTAAAAATGTTACATAGCAAAAGCAGCATTTATATCAGAATTTCTCTGAGCTTGTTACGATAAAAGTATTCCTGCTTTAGATTTCTTCTCACACATTTCATGAAAAAGGTGCAAATAGTTTGTCATTCTTTATTCTATTAATTGAGACTTTGATTGATCCACAGATGTTTTGAGCTTATTTTTGATTTAGGGTTGGTGAATTTGATGTGATGAAAATAAAGTGTGTTGTGAAAAAATACAGTGCCTTTTTGCATGGTCTGAAACAAGATTGTAGAGCATACACAGAAGAGTTGTCAATATTTCTCTATTAATTATTTTCACGTATATGTTTATGTTAAGCAAATACTACTTTTACAATACTTTGGGTAAAAATTATTTTGATTTAATTTAGAAAGAAAATGGAAAACAGCAGTTCCTAGTCCAGTTACACCACCGAGGAATTTAGCTAAAGAACTGAGCGGTGAAGAGCTGGAAAAGCTTACTAGAGTTTGCTCTTCGCATCAACAGTAAGTATAAGAAATTATTATTCCTTTTCCAGTGCTAATATGCTAGCGCAGCTGTTGTCTACTTGCCAGTATAGGTGTTTTAAAATAGTCAATGTCAAAATAAAAGGTGCATCCCATTAACTTCAGTGAATTTGGTTGCAAAGTGGTGGTTCTTTTTGATATATAACTAAAATGTTTCCATTACCATCGATTTTCAGTGCTTTAATATGGTTTGAGGAATGTATAGGGACTAGATCTGAACTGTTTTCAGCAAATCATTAGTTTGCCAGAAATGGAGTTTTGAGTTTTAGTATTTTCAGCCAAAGTAAAAAGTGAGTAGTGTTAATTTAGGACGAGGGAGACTGTAGAACTGATGATGGTGCTTGTGTCTAATACCTATTGTTTTAATCATTGTTTTTAAATGCAATTGCCCAGCATCTCGGACTGCAGCACTCACATCTACCCTGTAGGATTTTGTTCCCAAATTTTCCACATCTTAGGACAATTCCCTTAATGCTTTAAGTCACTCTTGTTATCTTCTGTTGATTTCGTATAGGTTGTGTAAACATTATGAAGCAGTGATTCTGTCATTCCCTAGTGTGGCAGTATTCTGAAGAGTTGTGAAATCTTAGTTCGTACCTGCTTTGCCTGATTCATCAGTGTTCTGAATCAGTGTATCACAGTATCACAAACTTCTGGACAGTGCCTAGGGTGCTCTTCTGGGTAGTTACATATACGGGATTGTACCCATCAGGAAGGAGAAGATCTGTTATTTCATGGGTGAACGTCCTACCTACTAGACACTGAGTTTAAGGGACAGAGGAAAGAAATTATACCAGCTGCCACTGAAAAATGATCAGCCAACAATAATAAGGAAACTAACCACAATCAAAGGCTGTGAAAAGACCAACCTGTGACAGGGGAGATGCTCTCAATCAGATGGGGAGAGACAACTTCTTCAAATACATTTGCATTGGCTTAGTCAGTCTGGATGTAACAAGCCAAAATGCCCCTATTGTTCATAGAGAGTATGATTTGGCTTCCCCGTTTTTTTTTCTTCTGGGTGACCGTACAGAAGTTTGTAAACACCCAGGCTGACTGACAGAACCGAGGCAGGGATTGTTTATTTGTAGTCTGAATGTGTTTGGGAGGGAGCCCCTGGAAAGCGCATTTCCACAGGAGGAGGAGGCAGCTCTAGCACCGTAGCTGCATGTTTACACCCACAGCCTGTTGCTACTGAGAGATTGCACTCTGAGTGCCTGCAGGGTTCCTCAGCCTACATTTCCTTGCATGTGACCTTGCAAGCCCACAGAAAGATTAAGATTCAAGTCTATTCCGATTTATATGCTAGCACCTCCCTATTGTCACCTCAATTGTCACCTTCTTGAGAATAACTCTGCTTTCTCCTTCTAATTCTTCCATGCAGCCTCACTTCAAAATACAAAATTTCAGTTATGTAACGTCATTCCTGGTTCTGAGAAACCCTGCAATTTGATAAAAATTAAGGCTTGTGTTCATTTGCCATGATTAGTTCTCTGTACTTAATATTATTACTCTTCCAAACTCTCTAGGCAAAAGCCTGTTTGTTTTTATTGTTTCATATATTTTTTTCCCTAAGCTTTAATCTCAATTTTTTTTGTAATTAAAATTATACTTCAATTTTTAATGAATAACATGCAGGTCTCGGAAAATGTGAGCATTTTGCTTTTGTAATTGAAAGTAATGTAACTTTTTCTGATACTCAAGGTCTACAGCTACATACTGGACATGTTTGTTCGTTAAAGATAGTTTTGAGTGTCCCTTATTTGAAGTTTAAATGGTAAAATTTAAAAGTCAGTGCAACTTCTAAAAGTTTTTGTCAGAGAGTATGAACATCAGTACTTTTCCCTCTTGTGCCTCCTACTGGGGTTTTTTTTCAGTAGCTTTAAACGAAATGCTCAACATCTTATCTTCATTGCTGTATGAAAGGCTGCAAGACAGATTGTGCATGATAAAACACATTGTGGATGAATCTCCACACCGTTTGCAAAGTCCCCGCTGACTGTTAGCAATGCTGGCTCACCTGTGAATCCCAGTGGAATCAGTGGGAGCTGCTTTATCTTACAGTACCCAGAAAACGTGTCCCAGTGTAAACAGCCTGTGGAGAGGGAAATATGTTTTGTGGGGTTTTTTCCATTTGTCAATCTCTTATAGTGATCAGTATTTTTAATACTAGTAGATGCTGAGTCCTTACATGATTTTTAAAGTTGGTAGAGTTCCTTCTGAGCATAAAGTTTTACAGGAATTTAGATTGCTAGTATGTTGCAGTAAATGTTCTTTTGACTGCTTTCTCAATTAGGTGGAGCAATGTTTGGGCTAATTGGTCTTTTGATGATATTCACATATGGTACAGATCCGTGCTTGAAAGTATGCTAGCATGCTGACACTGTTTCAATGTAAGAAAAGTTCTGTGCTAATATTAGAGCAGATCAAAGGCTTATAAGATTTCAATGACATTTGTTATGAAGAATGTTGCTACTAAGTTGTTTAATTTATTCTTTTTTTCTTTATTGCTGCAGGCCACAGGCATCCAAAAATAAGGTAAGCAGCTGTTTAATTGAATTCTGCTTTGTCAAAGATTGCTAATAAATATATTTTTAATATTATTAGATATAATCTTTCCAGTTTAGTGTAGAAACTGTTTGAAGTTCAGATGTCTCAAAAAGTTACAGTGTTCCTGTTTGATTCCAAAAATTACAGGAAATATTATCATATTTTACAGCTAGTAGCTGCAGAAAATACATGTGAAAGCGGTTGTTTGCTTCAGTTAATGGAATCAAAAAATTTAAAGGAAAGAGAAGCTGCTGCTTTTAAATCAGGTATGTGTGTGTGTACATGTGCATATGTTTTTTTTAAATATACTGTAATGACATATTCCTATAAATACTATGAAGCTATTTCATTTGAAGCTACAGCATTTGTTGGATTCCCATAGATTCGTCCATTTGTGCAAATTTTAATTTTTTTTCACAACTGCACAATGGACATACTATGCAATTTTAATTAGTCATTGACATTCAGAATTGTAATTAAAGTAATTCTAGCCTCCATCAAAAAAATGTCTTTTAAATGTGCATGCATTATAGCAGCCTACATAAGCTACAAAATTGTGTAAAACTAGAGATAAGATACATAATTTGTAAGTATAAAATACAAGGTAAACAATCTAATGACAAATATTCTGAGTTGTGGCAATTCAGTATAGTTAACAGTACTAGTAACTATTTTAGATTACATGCAATATACTGATTTTGAGACACATTTTTCTGTAACAGCACAAAATTAGGAAACTTAATGTGGAAGGGGTCCTGAAGCAAAAAACATACTTCAGTTAATTTTTGTCAGTACACGCTTTTATGTCAGCTTCATTTTCCTCCTCCTGCCTTGGGCAGTAGCTGTTTTGTTTGAGTGATTTGTTAGAATCATTGGGTTCTTAGGAAACATTGACAAATTAATGAATTGTTAAAATGGAGACAGAGCGGGAAAGAGCATTGGTAGACTACCAATTGGTAGGCTGTGCTTTCTCTCTCCTCTTTTTGAACAAGAAGTTTCTTTTTTTTGCCATGTTCCAGTTGCCAAAATTGGCCTAAACCGAGTACCTTTCCTCAAAAACAGCTAGAATTTCTCACAAGATGAGGATTGGCCTAAGTGACCTCAGGAGGTCCCTTTCAACCTAAACTATCCTACAAGTGTGTATCAGCCAGGATGTTCAGGAGAATCAGGAATTAACAAAGATACAGAGTCACAGTTCTCTACATGTGTTGATCCTCCTCATCTGCATCCTCTTTTACCATGACCCCTATACTGCCTTTTCTCTGTGTTTGTTCTTGTAACCTACCTAAACACAAAACATTGAAAACACGAAACAAACGTTCTTCAGCTCAGAAAGCAGATCAAAAGAACCCAATGCTTTTTATTTTTGAATGGTTGGAAATTCCCATGGAAAAAAATTAGGCACTTACAATTTTTCCATTGTTTTTATTCCAAGTGGGAACAAAAGCTTTCAGGAGAGCAGAATTTCTGATCATTGGAAACTTCTGAGTTAAGGAGTATTTTGTGTCAGTGTTAAAATACTGTAGTACAACATCTAGACATACTAAACTTAATGTGGAAGTAATTGATGGTGTGAATGGATTTTTTTCATGCCTTTCTCTTAATGTAACTCTTGTCAAAATGTCATCAAAATCTTTGGGGTCCTGTGAAATGTTTGTAAATTAGTAAAGCTGTGTCATCCAATAGAAAGCAGTTCTGGTGAGAATTTTCCAGCAGTGCTCAATACTTTTTTGATACAAAAATATGAATATTTCAAGGCTAACTCAAGTTTAAATGCTTAAAATTTGCAAAAGATGCTTTTTGAAAGATTAGCACATTCTTGAGGAAGCAATGACTTCTCACCCTGACCGGTCTCTTCATCTGTTAAGACAGTGGATGGTCAATTAGCTACTGCTGCCCCTCACTGAGTCCAATGCATCAGCAGCATGGGGCTGAATGTTTTTGTTGCAGTTAGAAGGTTTTGGGTAGGAAAGGCATCGGTATGAACTAATACAGAGATTGGACAAAGGTGATCCATAACTCTGAATTTTTTTACACCACTCAGTGCTGTGCAAAAAATATTTGAGCTGTGGCTGGGTGATCTAGCTCAGAACTAGAAGCAATATGGCCATTAGGGGCTGGTTCTTGATTTTTGCCTGAACCCCAGCAGAATCCTGTACTATAATAACCATACAGTTCCTAGTATTGAAACTAACCTGTTCAGCATGGGCCTTCTCAGTGAAAACTTAGAATGCTTGTCATCTGCTTTTTGGGTGGGTTTTTTCTCTACATCATGAAAAATGAGAAGTAAATGTGTAATCTTTTTCTTCTTCTCTTAGAAATGTATCTGCCAATCTGCAGGGAGAACTACTTAACTCACTTAGTTGCTGGTAGTAGAAGTTTGACTTGCAGTAAGACAGGAAAAGGAAATTCTCAAGTGGTTTGAAGACTGTCCTTCATATGAATTCATATGCCCCAAATAAGAATTTATCTAGCAATTGTCAATAAGAAGTATTAGCTTATATGTAGAGAGATATATATATTACATTGTAGAGATTGTTGCACTGTTCTATGGTAACGTCTTTGAAGTAAAATCACACTTCCTTACTAATCTAAAGCAAAAATTACTTTATTGACTTATTGCAGGCATTTGGGAACATAGTTTGAGCCTCTGTAAGCAGTTGACCATAAGAATTCACGATTCCTCTCTCCTGGAGATATAGTGACCAAGAAACAGTTTTATAAGAAGCTGGCTAATCAAGATTCCTGGGAGAGTCACTGAATTAGTTTTCTGCCCTTCTGAGCAAGGGTTGTGAATGGTCTGTTCTGTTACATTTTCCTGTCCAGCAAATTTTTTCTTTGAGTCTACCAACAGAGAGAACTGGGCCCTTAAAGCTATGTGTGTGTATTAAAAAATGAGATACTTCCTATATCCATTAATTTGTTCAGTTTCTGACTGAAAGCCTTAATAGCCTTAGTGTTTACTGAAGATAATCAAATTCATGTGTTTCATTAAACCTTTTGTAATGAAATGATGAATTTAATAAAACCCTTAGCATAAGTTTGCAGTGTGTACATATAGACCTGTTTCCAAGGTGGGGAGAAACTGCTTATACCCTGTTTTCTTTTAGGTCACATGGGATTTGTTTTTAAATGGGAAGAGGGACAAAGATGGAGAAGTGTGAACTCTCCACTGGTAGAATGCTGTAGGTCAGTACTCTCTCTGCTAGGCTGTCTTGAATTAACAGGATAAAAAAGTGGTGGCTACAGGTTTCTGTGATGTACAAAGCAAGCATCAATTTTGAAGTAACTCTGGGGAAAAAAACATTTCTTAAATTACCATAAGTGCTTTCATTTCTAGCAAACTTTCAGTAGTCACTTTGTTATATCTCTGACAGTCAGATAAAAATTACTGCCGTGTTGGTGGGTACATCTTCATTTAACTTAGTAGGAAAAAGCATCTTTTCTAATTAAGTGTTCAAGTCTTTGTCTTCACTTGCCTTGCGTCAATAGTGGGCATGGGTTGTCTCAAGCAGGTGTTTTGAAGTAGGTGTAAAGAAAATACTGAAAGCTGCTGAAAATTTGATGTGGAATGTAACAATGATCGTTACATCTCAGTTCCTGTGTGTCTATAGTTAGATAACAATGCTAGGATCATTTACTACTTTCTTAAGAACAGAGCCCTGAGCTCAAGAGCCACCCTTCATGGTAAAGAATTCGATTTAATTTCCGATTCCATTTAATCTTTGTAGCAATTGGGGCTGCCAGCAAAGATGCCTGTTGTAATGTGGATGTATCCACTAGGGAAAATTGTCAGATGGTAACAAAATCTTGTACCAATAATCCAGGCTGTATTTGAACTCGAGACCTATATGTGAAGGGCTCAGTATCCTGTTACAAATCCCTTGAGCTATCTACTCATCTGTGTCTAATTTTCAAAAAGTCCCTGTCTCATACCCATTTCTTCTTTCAGTGTTTTCAGAAGTTAGGTTCCCCGTACCCTTCCTTATCTGTTAATGGTGTTCTGATTTTTTTTTCTGCATTTTGAGATGGTTGGATATTCTCTTCAATTTCTAAGCCTGTCTTTTCTATGCTACCTTGTATTTCATTATCCTTGAAAATGGGGATAGTTTAGAATTTAATAAAACTGTTCAATACAACAAATTAATGCAAATATTTCTTTAAAGACTAATGAATGTGACCCTGTTTCATATAACAAGTTCAGGAAATTGCTCAGATTTTGAGTGAGGTTTTAACAGGTGAAGAAGGATAAGATTGGCATAGAGATCTTCAGTCATTTTTGTGAGAACATATATAGTTAATAAGGTGTCGCGAAATACTGATCTGGGATCCTGCCGACTACGCCAATTTGTCGCGAATGAGTGGTTTAGAGGCCGCTTAAAACATCACCGTCCAAGGTATTAGCAGAAAATGATTTTAATAGAAATTTATAATAGCGTGACTTAACAGAATTCAATGGCAAGGTTCACTCTATCACTTACTACATGGATGAAGTATACAAAGGAAAATCAAGCTAGAATTGAGTTGGAATGATTTATACAGACACCAAGGATGGAAAAGGGTAGGGGATACCCTCCCGTTGAGTCACGAGGTTCAGAGTAGACCGCCTTGCTTTCTAAACTCCTTCTCAAAGAGGAGTCTAGGTGCTGCTGGATCCAATCTTAGTCTCAGACTTGGACAATGGTTTATGTCTAATCGGGATTATATGTGTTTAGCAGCAGTCTAAGGTTCATTCACAGTTTAAAGTGAATCACAAGATTTTAGCAGCACTTAATCATTGACTAATTTAATGTTACAGAGCGAGTTAGTAGAGTCTACTACAGTCACTACAGATTATGCTTACTATTGGTTATCTAAATCAATTCACACACACACACACACACACACACACAAAGGCCCAAAGCTAGATAAAGGTACCCCTTGTTTCTCTCTGAAATTTCAGATAAGAAAAATCAGTTTTCATTTGTATTGTAAATGTGAATACAGAAATAAGCTGTATCCAATTGCATTTTTTAATATGTAAACTGATTTACATATCCAAAAAGCAACATCTTTTTATGCAGTCCGTTATGTAAAATATTGTAATTGGATACTTAATTTAGTGTTAACCAAAGGTGGAGCTAGTTACCCACTTAAAAGAACTTAATTTAAAGTTTATTAGTATGATTTCTGCTTCTTTAAAGGAAATGCAGATATCTCCCTGTGTGATAGACACACTAGCATCAAAATACAGCTTTCTGTAATTAAGTGCATTTGTCTGAACTCCAGGCCTCCACGAGATGCACTCACATAAAACATGCTTTAGAAGAAACGTGGCTGTTCAGAAAGGTACTTACATACATACTGTGTTTTAAGTATGGGAGTAACTCTTTTCAGGAGGGCACTAAAGCATGTGCTTTGCCTGCAAGAATGTGTGTAAATATTTTGCTGAGTCAGGAGTCAGCTTTTCAGACTACTAACGAAACTTTTATTCTGACTGGAGCACGAAATACCTGCCCTTTATGGGAGTGCATTTTAAAGCATTAGGTTACAATGTTATCAAATCACAGTATACTCTTTGCCCCCTGGGCTGATGCTTTGAATCATTTAAAAACACTGGAACTGCTTTTCCTATTGCACTTAGGTACTGAAACTTGTCCTGGTGTTGGATCAAAGAAAGAAGATAAACAGCTGAGCGCTAGTTCTCCGGGTGAAAACAAAACTGAGAGACAGACAGAGGCAGCAAGCCTTTGGGTAGCTGCAAGAAAGGACCACGTGGAGGAGCAGCACTGCAGTGCTGAATCAACATTGGAGCCACACACCCAGTCCACAGGGACAGTGGGCAGGCCTTCTTCGGGCTGTTTATTATCTGGGGATGCCGGTAAAGATAACAACAGTTTGCAGCTGAGAGAAAGACAGCTCTCTAAGGATGTGGAAGAAATAGAAGGCACAGCTGGGGAGCCTGGAGTGAAACTCCCTCTTGAGCCAATGGTAGACGCTTTGGTTTTAACAGATGCTGATTATATGCCTACTGATTTGGTTCCTACTGATAAAGATGTGCAAGCCGATAGAAATCTGCTCAGATCAAAACATGCTGCTGGCTCTTCAGAAATTGCTAGTGGCCAGCTTGGAAATAGTGATTTAAAGCAGCAACAGAAACTGCCTGATGATGATGATGAAGAATCTTCGCAGGACAGAACTGCATCAAATGTATGCTCTGGGTATAATAAAGTGTCTGAGCATGAGAGTACTGCCCATTCTCGAGTGTGCGAGGAAATACAGAGAACAGCAGGACAGGAGGAGAAGGTAAATAATGAAGAACAAGAAGATTTATTTCTCAGATTTTTAAATGGTAACATAATAGACACTGAAGAATCATTTGCAAACTTAGCAACCCAAGAGGACTTTGACACTGTTCAGGATATTTCACCTGAACAAGCATCTTACAACTCACTGGAAGCTTTATCACTAGATGACAGCTTTTCTTCTCTTGATGAACTTGCAAGAAGGATAGAGATTGCTGAGGTAAATACTGTGAATCCTATAAAATTTTCCATGTTTATCTCAATTAAAATATTTTAGATATTGCTAACTTCAAAATGTGTTAAATATTCCTTCATATATCACTCTAATCTGAAAAGAAATCTATACTTATTTAATTGTTCTGTGTTAATTCAGAAAAAAGTTTCTTTTTGCCTGCTTGCCTCTTTCTTGGCCAGCAGTGCTCTGTGTTTCTAAAAATTAGATTGATTTTTACATATGAGTGTGAACACCGCTGGTTTTTTATTCTGATGGAGACTGTGAGGAGATGGCCTGACAATTCCTGTTAAATCACAATTTCACATCAGAGATCTACATAATGCCTATGATGTAACATGTGGTTTGTTTCCATTCATAGAATAAAATTTGCTTTTCTGTGCCTATTCCGTATAGGTGAGAACTACATATGTAATAAACTCTGTATATGAATATATGGGCTTCTAATTTTGCCAAGTTCAGGCAGTTTTGTTGTTCAACCAAAACTAAGAAAGAACTTCTAAGCCTGAACCCACCTTTCTGAAGCACTGCTGATAGGCCACAAGAAGGATGAGTGCTTCATAAGCTAAATTGCTCTTCTGAAAAGATAGAAGATTTATTGCTTTGGGACTTTTTTGGGGGAGTGTGCTATGACATCTCTGCTTTATTTGCCTCCTGGTTTTGGTGCATTTGCAACCATGGGCCCTTAAAAGCTTTTTCTTTAAGTGAAAGAATGAGATTATTGTGAAATGACGTGATTCCAGATGCTGGAGGGGGAAGACTTGTAAAAAGGTATCTTCTTAGTTCATCTCTATTTTTAATGCATTAACAATACAACATCGCTTGGCAATAAAGTAACAGTACTTCTCTATAGATCAGAAGCTAATGCACGGAGACCAAGAACCCATGATCACTCAAGGACAGCAGCCAAGCAGGGAACTAAATAGCGGGGATCTATGCTGATGTTATTACACGTTTGGCAAAATCTCCAGAGCTGGAAACAGAGCTGGTTTTTCTCCCCACCTAAAGAGCTTCTTATCTCCTTTCCAAGATCATTCATCCTGACCTGTCCCTGAAACACCTTGTCTTTCTGTGGGATGTCAGGAAGCATACTACATACCAGGACTGCGGGCCATGTGCACAAAGCTGTACATAAGCTCTTGACAGCACACAGATGTGGAAACTCATATACATGTTCATACATGCAATCAAACTTTTGCACTAAATCCATTGGCTTGTGTTCACTTAGAGAATGGTTTTGAAAAAGTGCATTTTGTTGACAGCCTGTGCTAAGCCCATATACATGTACAACAGAAGAGTAATTTAAGTATCATCCCTCAGGATTAGATTTCCTTTGAGTCCACTGAAAGTTCAGCATTTTAAGCTACAGGAGAGAACTGTTCTGTTTCACGTAGAAAAATCCTGAATTAATCCTATAGCAACTATTTTTAAATTGCTATTTTGTGCCATTTGCATTTTAGAGGATGGGATAGGAAGCAGCATATTGATACTGTTAGAAAAATTATGCTTGTATTGATTGGCCCAGTGACTGATGCTGATGCTTTACAGGGAATCTAGATTCATTTCTAGTTTGCTATCCTGATGCTAGGACTGCCAGTACTCTAATGGCCAGTAGAGTGTCTGGAGAAGAAAAAGTACCTTGAGTCTTTCCATAGTACTTTTTCTGGCCATATAAGGCATAATGTTGGCTGGCACTGGTGGGAGTCTTTTTGGATTATTAGCAAGAGATCTGAGTTGTGTGTGAGGCAGGGCATTTAAACCAGGGAGAAGAGAAGAAGGGTTAATCTCAATACCAATTTAAATTTGTAATATGCATCATCTGGGGCTCTTTTGCAATACCTGAAATTTCTAGGTGCAGCAGGGTGAGTTAAGGACAGCACAGCAGCTTGTATTTTTTCATTATACGCTTATATTTTGTTTTTCCAGTTAATCTTATCACCTATCATTACCCTAGTGGTTGCTTTTCAGAAGTGGTGAGCACCTACAGCTTCCCTGGAAGACACCAGGAATTGAGAGAGTTTGGCACCCCTGAGAAAGCAGCACTGTTAACTTGCTTTCACTGATTTTGTTTTAAGATTAGGATTCCACTGATGTTTTGACAAGCAGACTGATCTTTGCACCCAGCCCTAACATTTCTTCCTTTCTTGTCTTCCTGAAGCCTTTGAAGTTGTATTGTTCAGGCTATGGCCATCTAATAAGAAGATAATGTTTTCATACAGTAATTGTGAAAGAAACACCTAGAAAGGCATTGGTAGCCACATGAATGAAATGAAATTAATTACATGAAATGTACCAGTGTGACAGTAAAAAAACCAAAACAAAAAAAAAAACAAAACAAAAAAAAACCCAGAACCAAACAAACAAAAAAAACCACCACCATAACTCAATTTCACTGTTATAAAACTTGTCGTGGAGTGAGTATTTACAAAATCGCCACAAATAAGTTAGCGTGGAAGGCAGAAGTAGAGATTATTTTGAAATAACCCAGGTACAAAAATCATACGGTAGGACAAAATTTCATTAATATTCTTCAATGGAGTTCTAATATTAATTTATTGTAAATGGGGAAGCGTAAGTACTTGTGTATGTATTTAGAGTTAGGAAGTTTTGTTTGACCCTATATTGAGATCAAAGAATCATCTCATGTAGTTCTCTAATTTAGACCCTTTATGTCACTTACTTTTAGTCTACCATTTACAATAACTAATTACAAGTCTGAAAATCCACTAAATTCTGACTCTGGCTTTAAATAATTGCAAAACCAGAATAGTACTTTACATATCGTACAGTCCCTTATATTGGGTATTTCTTGACTAGTACAAACCGTGCATGACAACGTGCAAATGATGGAAAATCACTGTCATTTTATAGAAACTAGGTTCATACAACTAACAAAGAGCTTTGAAGCACAGTCAGCAGTTGGCAGCAACAGATATCAGAAGTGTATAACCTCTTCTTAGATCTCTTTGCTATCATTTTTGTGAGAATGAAATGACACACCAGCAAACAAATTGTAACCTCAGTAATGTAAGTTGCCATACGAAATAGAAGTTTATAACATAAACTTTTTATCTGAGTGATGATTAGGGGAATGAGTAAAATCTTAATGTTTTTCCTTATTCAAAAATTATAATTTGAAATTTCTTTCAAAAAGCAAAGATAGCGAGACTCTCTACCACAACATAAGGTAGTAGCTTTTGGTTAGCACTGTTTGTACACCAAGACTTAAAAAGTACTGAGTGTGTACTGACTAGCAGCTGATTTGATTGCAGAAATGAAGTCTCCACCTATCTGCACTCGGTGTGGAGACAATGCCTTGTTGAGATCCCCTGTTCTCTTGTATGGCTTGGGTCCTGTAGTTTTGAGTTTGCAAGAATTATGCTTCCGTATGAAATGCTTACACGGTATCTGAGCTATTTATTGCTGTATAAAGGAGCCCCGGTATTTGCAGGGCAAGTGTATCAGCAGAAAAATGGTTAGAGTCTGATGCTCTGCTATGAATACTGAATCTGCTAAGTTAGCTCCTTTTCAAAGTCAAATTATTCATCTATCTAATGTATTTTATTAGCGAAGGGGTTTGTCTGCTTCTTATAGCATAACCCAGGGCAGTCTTGCTTTTTGTCAGTTTGTCGTACAGTTATGGATTACCACTTTAAAGAAATCTGGTATTGCTAGAAATAAAACTGTAGGCCTTGCCAAGTAACTGAATAAGGAATACAGCCCACAGAAGAATACACAAACAAAACTCCTCCTTGAGTAGTTCTCTGCATTCAGACCAAAATACTTCATACAGTGAACTTTCCTTCATCAATGCCAGTTTGCAGTGTCCCTGGTTTTGGGGTTTTTATTTACTTCTGTATGCAAATGATTCCAATAGTCAAGTTTAATCTGTTTTCTCTGAAAGCTTGAAATACAGGACCTTATTTTCATAGTTTTGTCTAGTATGTTTATAAATATATATACACACATCATATTTGGTGAAAATATGTATAATGTAAGAAGTTTTTTAATATTTTATTAGCAAATGCTGTTTTAAACAGAGAAGAGACAGGTAGTTTAATTAGAGCTTATTTGTTCTTGTTTTGCAGCCAGGATATTAAACTTTATCCAAAAAAGTTTAAAACTTTTCTGTGAAGCAGAATCACTTTGTATTAATAGTGGTAAAAAGAGAAAAGCTAAAATATTTACAGAGTTTCAATTAACCAACAGTCATTGCTGCTTTCCCTTTTGACTGTTGGTCAAAATGCCACCACATACCTGTATGCCATTTTCAGTTTGTGTACAGTACTCCTGAAAGCTCCGGTCAAAATATTTTGTGAAAGGCAGCAGAGCTGAGCGAGTAAGCTCAGTTACATAGATGCTCCAAGAGCATCTTTTGTTAATTATCTAACTTAGAATTAAGAAAATGTTCAATGTTTCAATAGGGTCCTTCATGTAGCTTTTTTATGTAACACAGAGCTGTTTGCAGTGCAGCCTGGTGCAAGCCTACATTTTTCCTCCTGTGGTTCAAGTCAAGCAGAGGCTTGACTTGTGGTCAACTGTATTAACCACAGTTCCCTCATTAACTTCCAATTTAAATAATGTATTCTGCCTTTTTAAATTCCTCCAGCCTCCTAAAGACTGGGGTGAAAAACTTCGTCTTGCATGGCAGTTAAGATCCTCTCCTTGGATGTTTAATTAATGGGAGATGGATCTAATACAATCAGTTTGTATATTGCTTTGAAATCTTTCTAAATGAAAGGTATGGTAGAAAACTACATTTACAGTTTTTTTAATTGAATTGAAGTTTTTTTATTTGTAGCAAGATGGACCCTATTCTTGCATGACAAACTTACAGTAATGACATTTTTATGACTGAAAATAAAAATAAAATGTGGTGATGTTTGCATTAAATATTTTCGAACTGCAGTTGAGAATATGGTAGAAAAGAAGGTGTAAATATTGCTTTATGCAGAATGCCATATGTTTGTATTTGCATTTTAACAATAAACTGTATCCTGATTAGGAGGCATAGCTTTGTAGGTCCTTTGCAGAACAAAACAAAAACTTTAATTACGTGAGTCATGAAATTCAAAAGCAGATGAAATAGTCTAGGTATGAATTACATATCATGTAAGGGGGACATTCTTAAAAATACAGTCTATGGCTTTTGTTGAGACAGGAGAGTCTAGCCACACTGATTTTATTGCAAAATCAAAAGCCCTTGCTCCCCCTTTTTAAGCAAAAGATAATGTTCAGAGTAGAGAAACCTCTGCTGTGTGGATTAGTTCTTTATACATGTAGAAGTAAATCCTGAAACATAGCCATGTAGGCTGACAGGGAAAGTAAGTGAACCTCATTGTAGCAAGGCTTTCCTTTGCAAGCCTTTTACGTAACTGTAATCACTGAAACACGCATTTCCACATAATCCTGTCAAAGATAGCCCTCTGGTTTTAAGCTTGGAGAAGACAGAGCTTGTGCCACAGTCATTCAAAAACTACCAAGAGCCAACAGACCAAATGAAATTACTACTTGCAGAACGGACCACCACATACTACTAATCTTAGGGCAGACTGGTACAAACGCCCCGCTGGCCCTGGGTGACATTCCCACCAAGTGCAGTCCAAGCCACTTCAAAACACGTGTGCCAGGTGACAGCTAGCCTGCTGTGTGGGTGGTGCGGGAGGAGCCATTGATCCTCTTTAGGAAAGCAAAGCCGTACACAGAAGCTTAAAATAATCTACTCTTTTGAAGGACATAATTTCATCTCTGCCCTCCCAGATAAATAAGTCAAATTAATGCACTCCTACACGATCCCCCTTCCTTGTCACAACAAGGAAGCATAAGTGTTGATTTTCTGTCTGGCCTGATAAATTTTCATGGCAGTCTGCAAGGCTAATTTAACATTACCAGTAGAAGCTTCACCCCAGTACACTTGTCTGTTGTGATGAGACACTTGCGGGCTATTATTTCTGGTTCATTTGTGCCAAATAGTGGTCCTCCATATGTTGACTTTGTAAACAATTTTTTTCCACCACCTCCACACTTTCACTGCTTTGTAAGTACTTCATTGCATTGTTTCATTAAATAATCCATTCAAACTCTTGAGCAGATAATCAAAAGGGAAAGTGAATACCAAAAAGGGAAGTGTGGCAGAGATCAATTTTCCCCAGAGATTTGGGGAAAAATTGTTAGACTGTAGGCATATACCCACAGTGACCAATTCTATGAGTTGTTCAGGGCAACATTATTTGTCCAGTTGAGGGCTATAAAATACTGCCAGACTAGAGACCTGCAAATGTAATTGCCACATGTACCAGCTAAAATGTTGCAAATGCCAAATGCCATAGCTGGTACAGTGCCTATTGGATTGTGCTCTGTGTTTCACTGTGTTCAGTGCACCATCTCTCCGATTACAGCATGCATCGATTCATTATATAAGCTTGTAGCATGAAGCAAGTTTAGGGGCATAAGTTATGAAGTCACTTGTTTTCTGTTTTTCTACAGCTCTTACGATTGCAATGCAAACGAGTTTTATGCATGGTCTTCTAACTGATTAGATTATGGGGAGAGTTAAGCAGTCAGTTGTCTGCAACTACAGTGTTATCTGGAAAGTTACTTTTTTTCCACTTTGAGGTTTTTGAAAATTATAGCCATTTGGGGTCATTTCCTACACAGATGAGTTGCAAACTCAGTTGCAAATCTAGTAGGTTTTCTTATCTATAATATACATTATACAAATGTATACAGATTACTTTTCAATTTAACAAATTGAAATTGTTATTGTTGATCTACAGAATAAGTTTTTAAAAGTGCTACTCAGATTTATGAAGAGATGACTAAAACTTTTTTTCCAGTAAAGATGATCTCAAGGTAAAAAAAGGGCATGTCTAAATATGCTTCCTATTTTAATTTCTGTTTATTTCTAGCACACTGGGAATTGCTTGCTTAGGAAAGCATTTTTCTCCCGATACTTCCCCTACTTTCATTTCTCTAATAACTAGGAAATTACAGACTGCTCAGGCTGGTGTAACATCCTAGTATGGCTTAGCATATACTCTTGCAGCTAAGCCAAATGCTGTAGCAAAGGAAAGAGAAGCTACGGGTTTATTGACTTATAGACTGTATCGCTGTTTGGGTGACGAGCCTGTAGGGAAGGATTTTTGAACTGCTGCTGTATCCAGAGAACTTATTACAATGTGGAGCTGGAATCTATCCAGAGCATTGAAGCCTTTTTTTTTTCCCTGGTGTTATCTCTTTCTGGTTTTCTGGCCCCACTGTAGCTTCTTGTCCACCCTGGGGAACCAATTACGGTGCTGGAAAATTAATCTCACAATAAGTATTTGATAGTCTCCGCAGGATTACATCTTTGGAGAGGCAGCAGCAGTGTGTCATTGACTTCTTATTGCCCTCTGATGATGGCGTTTTTGACGCGAACCCTCCTCACCGCTTCCCAACCCATGTGATTTAATAATCTGAGCTTACAAAGGAACTGTTGCAGTGAATACAAAGTATGATCCAAACAGTAAATGTATGTGTATTTAACTCCGATAGCAATTAAGGGCAAGTAGTGTCAGCATACAGTAGAATGATACTGCAGCTGTCCTGCATGTTAAGGAATTGAAGTATTCAAGAGGAGGTTTCACAAGTGCTGCAATGTTTAAGAAAAGTGGAGTGGAAACAATTTTTTAACTGTTTAGCTCATTTCCTCCTGAAAGTCATTGTTAAATAGATCTCATGCTTGGATTTCTCACATCTCTTGTGCCACTCACTGTCTTTCCTGATAGATTGCCCCAGCAGAAGGATTGGTGTCTATACTAAAGAAGAGAGATGACAGGGAAGGAAAAACAATTGCTCAAGTCCAGCAAAGGCAAACAAAGAGAAGAGTGCGATTCCAAGAAATGGAAGACACATTGGATCAAGGTAATTTAAAGCTGCAAATTCATGGGCTGCATCCTTGGGGTGCAAATGATGTTGATCTTTTTGCTCACAAAAGCAAAGTGGGCGTTCATTGTACATACTGTTTTGGCTTTTTAAAACTTAATCAAGTAATAACTGAAGGTGCTTGATCAAAGATTATTCTATACCAGGTTTGGGTAACGAGGCTACAGAAGGATACAATAAGTACACTTCTGTTTTAAAGCTTGGTTGAGACTGAAGCCACAGGTTTTTTTTCTCTGGCTGAATGATTTGCGAGTGACATCTAATGGATGTCCTTTAATTAATGTTTAGAGCTTAGAGGTGGGAGAGGAGGTATAGGCTTTCTCCCTAAATCTAATCTGTGTAGGTAAAGAGGGATGCAAAAGAAACAAGTCTGTTGTGCTGTGTCCACAGGTAGCTTTCCAACCCTTTCTAGTAGACCATGGGATTGGAGGGTGTCAGATTTTAACCTTGCTTTATAATTAAACATCCATATATATATATATATATATACAGCTGTCATTAAATTTGGCTAAACACCTTACT